CAGGAATGAGAAGTCCACGAATTGTGTTGTTATCTCAATTGAGACCAGAATTAATAATAAAAGAAAAAACGTTAAAACTAGCTAAACAGTTAGCCGATAAATTTGCTGATCGACTACCATCGCCATTTGGAAGAAGAAGTGGTTAAATGATTTAATTAAACAGACAGATAATACCGCATTTCCAAACGTTCGATCACTATTAATATTTTTAGCAACTTTACCGGTGTCAACTGCGTCGGCTGAACGAAGTTTTATTCACTTAGCTCGTATAAAATCATATGCAAGATCGACAATGAAGGAAGGGCGACTGAATGGACTTGCTGCTGCTTATATACATAAAGACATTGATATTGATCCACAAGAAATATTAACTTGTTATATACAAAAACATTCGCGACGTTTAGACTTTGGCTTTTAGCAGATGAGAAAGAACACCACAAAACCCTAACTGTTTCTCTCTCTTTATGCTTTATTCATGATGATGTACGTTTCATTTCTTACGCATAGAACACTAACAGGCTTTATAAAACATGTTTAGGAGGTTGAATAAAAAGATGTGAATAAGTTGCTTTGAAAGGGGAGAGACAGTGTCTCTCCCCTTTCAAAGCAACTTATTCACACTGGGATGAGCTTTTTTTATTACGCTGTACTGGTTCATTCCTTCACTTCGGATTATCAGATACGCTTGATGGTAATGGCCTCCATCTCTGACAAGAATACAACTTACTTGGACTCGTCAGGTCGGAACTATGAGCTTGGTCGGTCATCACTTTTCTGGCTCTTTCTCACTCTTGACATTCCCGAGATACTATGCTCTTTTTTCGTACTCTATCACTTGCTGGCCGAGAGAAGTTCGCGACAAGCTCTTCACAACCGTGCAACGATAGTGATCCTGCTTTCCAATCTCATCTACTAACTGATCGATATCCCATTGCATTTGCAATATTTTCGCATAGGCCTTATCCGTCCGAATGTGCCTACACTTTGTCTTATCTGGTGGTTCATCGACTATGGCTTCTTTTTCATCAATCTTGTCTTACTCATGTGGTCATCACTGGAACGGCACATCATCATTTTTCACGCATGGATGCTAGCAACGCGATGCAAACGTCTCTTTGTGCACTACCTTCCGATAGGTCTGATCGTCCTGCTCATATTGACCTTCTACGGTGTAGCAATTTTTGCGTCACGTTGCCAAAATGAATTCGATTTTACTGCAGATCTCTGTGGTATCGCTGGATGCTATGAATCCGTACCATTTTTTGGTCTCATTGAGCGCATCGGATTGGCTGTTCTACCGATGTGTCTCATTGTCTTCTTCAGCATTGGATTACTGGTGCGAGTTGTGAGACAAAAATACCGAGTTCACCGGGTTGTAGAATGGGGAAAGCAGCGGAAACTAACATTGCATCTGATTTCCATATCATCTGTATACTTATGCTTTGATGGACCCCTAACCATCATCTCTCTTGTTCATTTATCCGGTCAACCTAACTGGGCGCATGATGTATATCCAATATTCTTCTATATCTCCTACTTTCCTATTCTATTACTGCCAATGGTGTGCATCGGTTTATTACCTGGATTACAAAACAAAGTGAACTGTTTCAGTCCGCGACGATCACAAAGAACTGCAATATCAGGCAGCCATCCATCAAGATTGATGCCAACCCATGAAAGGAATCAATGATGAAACTGCGATTAGGCGAGGTTTTTGATACTGTACTGCGACTTTTTTCGGAAGAACCGGACAGTAACTCGCTTCCCTTAACCCCAAGGAGTAGGAATCACGGTAGCATGGGGGAATATCGCGACGTATCAGATGGCGTGAAACCGTGGTTTTCAATGGCGCTGATAGATCATGCCGTGCGTTGACAGCTTGCTGATCAGACGTTGTGACGCGATTTTCGAGAAGACAGAAGCATAACTTACGTGTCTCATACATTGATCATAAATACTCACTTCAACCGGAATTGTGCGCGAACATGTGAGAGTGATGATGTAGTAAGCATATCCGTGGTCTGTTTTTGGAAGTTGAGCTCGTCTGATTGTCTCTTGTTTTCTGAAGAGCCTATTTTTTGACATCCCTCACCAGCTTGATTATCGTCGGTGGGAAAAATATTGAAAAATGGTTCATAATTACATCTAAAACCAGTTCTTCCAGAAAACAACTGCAATGAAACATCAAATATGTTATGACGCTGCCAATGAATCGCTTAGTGTGAGCGCTGAAAGAATTTTTGTAGTTTTCTGAAGTTCAACATTCTCGTACAAAAATTCACAAAAATGATCAGATCTCCGTACACTTCCTACGTAGGAAAAAAGCATCAATAGAAAAATTGTTACGAACTTTGGAAAAAAGTGGCCCAATAACCTGGACTCTTGGCTACCGATGCCCAATAGCCAAAACTCGTTCGCTGGGAGTCTGCCAGGGGTTGACAAATTCTGAATACGCCACTGCTCTCTTTGTCTCGGATATACTGGTAGATCCAAGAAACTTCAAATAACATAAATATTTTCAGCTATAAAAACTTCTGAAGCCCGTATACAAGACGTAGAATAAAAAGGATAAACTATCCCGTTCTTTACTAAACTGGATGATGGCACACAGCAGCTTTCAAAAAAGATTGGTGGACAATCTGACATCGAAATTAGAACGAATAACGTGCGTTCGAGACGAAACCTAAGAAACGATACTATCGTCCGGTACAGGTTATAGTGTACCCTAGTCAGAAACCTATACATTTCTTGACAGGATCCTGGAGAAATCCGGCCAGGATTTAGCTGGCTTTTTGGTAGGGTCCTAGGAAAATCTTACAGAATCCTAAAGAAATCAGGTATACCGGGAAGTCGTAGGATTTGTCAGGATTCTGTTAGAATCCTGTTAGGATCCTAGCAAGAGAATGCGATGACTGAATCATAATGTAGCAGGAATTATTTAGGATTTTAGTAGGAAAAGATAATTCTTGAACAGGAATTTCATAGGATTGCTTATATGTTCCTATCTCTCATGAAATTTCTCCATCCGTTCTCATTTAGAAGCGTTTACAAATGACGTTAACTCCTTTTTTTTGGACTCCTTAACCTCACGTTTGTAAACGCACGTTGCTTAAGTTTATATCTTTGTCGTTTGGTACTGTTGTTTATTTACAGATTTTTCTGTACATCAATTATGCTGATATGCAACAGCATATTCCGTAATGCAAATACAGTTATCTACAGGCACATAAAAACAGCGAAAACGTATATCGTGAAGAGAACACAACTCAAAACTATTACAATTTAGCATATCTGGTGGTTCACAAAAAAAGTAAAGAGTGTTTAAGAAATCGCCAAACGCAGAAAAATATTTATGCTTACATACAAATTTTGAGATAGTAAAATTTTCACGCGACAATTTTTGTAGGATAGCAAAACAACTTTTTTTAACAAGTAAAAAACATATTAACCACGCAAACTCAACACGATTGTCCTTGACATAAGAAACTAAATAACTACATGTTGTGTGTTTTCTTGTATACAAAAAACTATGAAATGTTGTAATTGAGCGATGCAAACGTGCAAAAAAAATAGGAGAAAAATCAGGCTGAAAAATACTTTTATCTAGAAGAACAGTTCTTAACTGTGTACATAAAACTGAATCTGTTAATATGTTCATGTCGTATAATTGCTTCGTATCATCAATAACGAAATGTCCTAAAGAACGCGGTGAATCAGGAGGACTATTCGTATCATCAATAACGAAATGTCCTAAAGAACGCGGTGAATCAGGAGGACTATTTCGCCATTGATCATGAAGCAATCGTTGGATAACAACATACATGGCAAAGTCTCCGAATAAGTCTTCTGGTAATGCATGGCATAACACCGGCAGGCCAATAAATAGAATAAATACCCGAACTTCACTTGCTTTCCACTTGTGTACACTTGAAAACCCTCTTGGCCTCCCCTGTATGTCAAGTATGTAACGAAGGGATCGAAGCTTTTCCGTAATATATTGTACGTTAACTTTAGATAAGATTGCCTGATACAAAACAAGAAGTTTTCTCCCATGACATAAGAATACTGTGTGCATTCCATCGATACACAAAGAATGAGGCAACGGCACATCAAGAATGTGTCGAAATGCTGAGAATCCTTTTACTCCAGCTGTTTCATCTCGTTTTCGCGAATTACTAGCTGCAAGAAGGGCGCATCGATCAAATGATTTTTCTGTTCGAAGTTCACTTTGTGAATCATTTGGATAAATGGCACAATGTCCATTATGACAATAAACTCCTTTTGTATCACAAAACATGCAGGCGTAATACGCTGTATGATCAACGAATTCAACCATGTCAGACAAAGCAGGCATATCACCGACAAGAAGTGGAAAAAATATTTTAATATTATTTGATTTTGGCATCTGTAAACCAACGTTTTTTAATTTTAATAGAATTTTTGACAATTTTTCTAAAATAACATGAAAATTCGGCTTCTTTCGGCTTATCCAGAGGCCAAGAAGAAGAATATTATCCGCTTTGGTTCTTGCGTACGGTGGCAAATCAACCACCGCACCTAAGATGGGCCACGCACTACATATTTTTGATTTATAAAGTGGAACACCGTCACTGTGTAGGATAAGTGTTAAAAAGAAATCTGAATTTTTTTTATACGCCATTTCTACATTAGTGAAACTATATGAATATTGTCATGATGAATACAACGAACAGCTTTTTTTCAAAACGAATTATTCACAAAGCGTTAAAAACAAAATATTCCAAGGTAGTCATCTTTGCAAAAATTCAGATGGAGCATTCTGCAAACTTTGCAGTCTTCTCTCCATTTTCTGCGTCTGTGCATTCTTTCTCTTTCAAGCAGTCATCCTTCTCGTTCAGCTCTTGATAGCCTTAGTGGATCTATAAGCTTTATAGTTCAATGGATGTATAGCTTCATTTGGACTACGTATCAATACCAAAATCGGCTAAATGACCTATTCCGAACGAAGACGTGACTGATGAAGAAATGTTATGCAAAAGAGGCAGGATACAGATAGGCTTTAGTTCAAATTATAAGTTTATTCAAGTAAAAAGAGAGAACTGGACTAATTTCATGAAAGATACGACAGTCAACATCTGTCTTGGAAATTAAACCGTCATTCATTTTTTAACGGATAGCAATAATGTTGGCAAAACTTTTCTTATAGAGATTTAAAAAAAGGATATCAATAGGATACATGTCGCTTTCGAGGCTGGAAAGACAGAAAGATGTGTTAATATGTCAAAAACTGATCTCCTCCAAAGTACAATTAAATCTTACCGATGCTGGAAGCCATGGCGACCATCAATACTGCTGAATCTCTGAGTATACTCATGAAGAACGTCTGAGGAAACGTTTTGGGGGTGTGAGACCTCTAACGAATATCTGATTTGCATTTCTCCGGCGCTCGGTCTCGTCTAAGTGTAGCACTCGGTTTTCTCTTCTCAATATCGACAGGAGTGAGTATCCGATAAAGTTATCTATGGAAAGTCCATATTTCTTTGGATAAGTGAAATGCTAAACTATTTTCGACAACAATTCCAGTCCGAATAATTTGTATACGGCTTTTTCAATGTTCAAATCTAAACACAAGTTGCTCTTTCTACTGAAAAATCGGTACTATGTGGGGGACTTTAGCTGAACATCATTTTTGAACTCTATATTTTCGTCGTAATTCTGACGTTGCGACGAATCTATTCTGAGTAGAATGAGCGGAACTGCAAATCAATATTTATTACTTTTTTTCTCAGGAAGCACTAGTTAGCCCTGATATTTTCAAAAACATTACATCGATCGATCGGTAGTAAGGGTATCGAAATCAAACCCTTTCTTTCTATCAGGAAAACGTGGGTTGACACAGCTGAAGGCATTTTTTACGAAACTAATCGATGGTTGCTAGCAGTACCTAGACCGAAAGCCTTCATTGCCTGTTTATGATAATAAGTTATCTTCGAAAGGAGCATGGCGGATCATCACTCTGACACAGCCGTGAAGCTATAGCGATAGACGCCTTCTAGACTACATTAATCTCCCCAAACCTCATTTCAACAAAAAGACTCAAATTGGCTGAAGAAACATGAAGAATAGACAATCACGTCGAGCTCTCGTTTTCTCACCTTTCTACAGTCACTCACTAACTGATCGATCCTATTGAACTGGATAAACTCACACGTAAGATTCTTAGAAGTTCACTTACACCAAGTATCGATTTTAACAAATCCTGCCCAACGGTTACAAATCCGGTAAATTGGCGGAATTCCTCCGTAAACGGTGGTGGTCATGTATAGCCATATAATAGCCACAATTTTACTCTGTCATGTGTTAAAGAGTCCTATAACTCAGTGGATAGTCAAACACCCCGATTTCTTCTCCAGAGCTCCAGTTTCACAACAACCAGTTAGTAATGTTCCCAATCACGGCAGTTCTACTGATCTTCGCGGTCTTCGTCTTCGTGGTGGTATTGGTCCTTGTGATTGTTGTCGTATTTGGTGTGTTAGTCTTTGTTGTCCTTGTTGTTGTGATCGATGATTCTGAGAAGAACTCGTTGATCATGCGATCGGCCGTCAGCTGACTAACTTGACATTACTGCTTCTGTTTGCAAAATACATATGAGTAGAAATTTTTTGTGATGGTTCTCGTGATATTTTTTGTTCTGGTTTTTGTCTACTGCGGTTGTCATTAGCGAGTGATTCGATGAGTTTTCGCTTTTATCTAGCTCTGGCCAGTTCTCCATTGTCCATTGTTAATGAACACATAAAGTCGAAGATTTGTTGATTGAGCTGCGCTGTAGTTATCCAACACGCAAAAAACCGCATAACATTGCGAAATCGATAGTAGTTGGTTTAATGAACAGATTGATTCAGCCTCTTACTGTAAACTCACATAGGTGTGATGGAACCCATTTCTTCTTGTTTTTGGTAGGACAATGTGAAAAAGTCGCTCCAGTTCGATTCCCACGTAAACTGACTGACATATTCTCGTAAAAGAGCTCATAGTGAGATGATCGGAAGATGGAACTGGAACTCGATGATTTCACGAATGTATAGAGAACCTTTTTTCACAGATCGTGTTTTCCAGCTCGGTACTACCAGAAAAACTCAAATCGGGCACTAAAAAAAAAACTTTTCCATATCGTGGTACATTTCCCATGGATTCACCCATAAATGATGAGACAGTTGGCTTTCAGAAGTGTTCTATCTAGAGCAATTCTCGGCGAACTATTGATTATTCTCAGTCACTGAACTGACGATTCGGTAAAGAAGTCGGTATTGATTGCGTTATCGTTGGCATCAGAACGGTTATCTGCGTCGAAAGTTGACGAGTTATTGGTGTCCTTTCAGAAGTTAATGTCATCCGGGCGAAAAGGAAATCAATCTTAAACAGGGTAGTATTCGTTGGGCGAAGTCTATGGTTTCTAAGAGGCTTTACTTATGAATGCGGTTCTTTAATGAGAAGGGACGACAGGTGTATGAAACAAGTAGTCATTATTCGTATGATAGTGGATGATTCATCTGAAGGAGAAGAAAATCGCTATGATCGCTCTGTTCAAGCTGGAGAAGCTCTTGATCGCTTCGTTCTTCCTTCTGGGCTCGTGCGAATCGTTTTTCGACGTCGATATTCTCTTGTTGTTCAGTTTGATCACTCAGAAGTTGGAGGTGTTCACGAACGACAAAACCTTGGAACTCAATGAGTTGTTCTTATTCCCATCTGTCTCTTGGATCGATTGTTTCTGACTTGTATGCATCTAACAGTATCTCGTCGATGGGAGAACTCATCGATTGCTGCATCGAGTTCGATATTTCTCATGGGCTTCAGAATATTTCATGTGAATGTCTTTGTCTCCAGTGTCCCCGGTTGTAGTTCGTACTTAGTTGATCGCGAGGTGATGATCTGGGAGTCCAGCGTTGTCGTTCTCGCTGCCGCTGCTGATGTATCATGTCTTGTTGTCGATCTCTTTGTCGCTGTCGTCATCGTTGCCTTCGTCTAGCTAGTTACCTGGTGGTCGGATTATTATGAGGCGCGACATTTTGAATTCGCCGAGTTGCGTTGACTACAATCGTGGTTATTGTGACTTCCAATGACGGTTCGCCCGTGCCTACAACATCTACTGTTAGTAGTTGATCAATATTCGTGTCGGCATGTCGGTTGTCCAGCGAAGATTCTGACGGTACACGACCGAATCGACTATCGTTGCCACACATTCTATAGGAATGTTCAAACACTAGAAATTGAATCATTACACTCTTAACCCTTTCGGGGTCGGCTTATTTTGAGAATAAATTAAAACATACAGATTTTTCAGCCTTTCGAAAATGATTAATTTTTGTCAAATTTATTAAATGGGAACATCAGAAAGCTTTCAAAGTATGATATTTTTTGAAACAGTTGGGATTACACAGTGGTACATCACAGTCTGGACAATAAAATCTTATAGCGCTCCGTTTTTTTTCTCGCTTGACTGTATGACTGCAGACGAAACGGCGTTTTTGAACATTGTTTCCTGAAAAAAAAGCGATGAAATGACGAGCAGTAAGGCGTAGTGGAGTTTCGGTTGGTGGTCTTCCTTTCATCTGTGACTGCTTTGATCCATATTCTTCATGAGCAAGATGAAGACGAAACTCTGAAAGTTCGAGACTTCTCTCGTTTTTCATCTTGAACATGGCATAAGAGTTCTGCACAGTGATGTCAAATAAATGGAAAAACAATTTCTTGTACCATTTCACTGTTTTCCGTAGACATTCCGAGAGACTGTTTTGCATATCTACTTGATCCACTGCTCTCATATTTTTGTTGTTTTGTGCAAGACAAAGATAATTGCCGATGTTTGTTTCTGCTCCGGTGTAAACGATGAAGTTCAGAACGAATTTCGTATGACCGTCACATAACATGAAGAACTTCCCGCCGAAACGGTTTCTTTTCGATGGAATGTATTGTTTGAAACTGAGGCGAACTTTCCACAGCATCAGACTCTCATCAACGCAGAAGTTCTCCCATGCAATTACTGCTTTTTCGAATTTTGCTTTCAAATTTTTGACGCTTGGTTGGATCTTTCGGAGCTTACCTTCCTCTTCGGTGTTATTGTCAGCAAAATGGAGATATCGCAGTATAGAAAGGTTCCTTGTAAAAAGTTCTCCGAAAATCGGTTTTGTAATCAGCCTATCCGTTGACCAATAATCTTTTATGCGATTCTTTTGATTCAACCCTGTCAAAATTGTATTGGCGAAAAAGATATACAGTTCTTCCACGTTCGTATTGTACCAAGCTACAGTTTCTTCGAAATTTGGAGCTGCATTTTGTTGATAATTGTTGGTTTCTTCAACAATTTTCTGCATTCGTTCGTTGTCGAAAAATGCTTCGAAATAGTCAAATGATTTGTTTCCTCCGATTTTGAATTTTGCGTTGACTCCTGATGCTCTATCGGGAAGTTCTAAGTCCTTGGGGTCGAAGCCAGATAAATGCCATTTTCTAGGAGCATGTCTTTTCGAGTATTTGGAGCTGGAATGTTATTTTCTTCATCTTCTTGGTCACCCGTAGAGGACAGATCCAAATCCTCAAACTTACTTTCTAATCCTGATTCCGAATCACTCAAAATTTCGTCGAATTCCATTTGACTGAGCGTCCTTTTTGTTGAAGTTGCTTTACGTAGAATGAAACTGATGAAACACGAACTGTAAACTGGTAAGTAACTGTAACGAGAACAGCGCAGATATATATATATATATATATATATGTATATGGGCAAGAGAGATAGTGACAGTGAGAATCTTCTCGAAGATCCCAGACAGAGAACATGAAAAAATGGATTATGATATCATGTCAATTACAGGGAGAGAAAAGGAAAAAGATGTGTACAAACCGGAGGGAGGAATAACTAGGGCTGTAGCCGTTCACGTTGGTTTGGCAAAATTTTAAACGAGAACGGAAACGGTTTTGCCGTTGACGTTCTGAACTGTCAACGCCATTTCATCAGTTGACGTTCTGAACTGTCAACGCTACTTCATCAGTTGACGTTCCGAATTGTCAAAGTGTCGCATTAGTTGGCGTTCTGAACTGTCAACTGCATCTGGTCAGTTGACGCTCTCAACTGTCAACGTGAAAAACTATGTCGTTAGATGTCGTTATAGTGTAGTTCAGTATCAGTATGATGACTTGTAGACCGAAAAGCATTGAGAAAAATCATGCGAAAGAAAACTGAAAAAAAGAGGCACAAAACGAGCAGAATAACGTAGAAAACGGGAAAATTTCTCAAAACATTTTGATTCACGAGAGATCTTCATTCATGTCAAAGCTTTACGTGAAAAGTATGACGGTTTCACTCATTTAATAACTTTAGATCGGTGGGTTTCAACGTTGACAGTTCAGAACGTCAACTAATGCAGTAGCGTTGACAGTTCAGAACGTCAACTAATGCGACACCTTGACAGTTCAGAACGTCAACTGATGCAGTAGCGTTGACAGTTGAGAAGGAAACCGCTACGGCTACACCCCTAGGAATAACCTATAACCTTCATCACATTGCAAGTCATGGCACGAATGTGTAGAAGAAGCAGTTTCAATGTCTACTTCGAAAAGATGTCAAAAAAAATTCGACTTTAAACGCGTTAGATCATGTGAAGAACCAACGACATTTTAAAATGTCAGCGGTTCTGAAAGGGTTAATCTTGATATTCTCGAATATATACTGAAACTATGAAACTGATGTGGTTTAGAATACGAAAAAGATTATTTTTAGATTTGACCATCGTACTTCAGCTGGAAGAGATGATTTAACCCTTTCGCTACGGGTGTCCCATATATGGGACGGTGAGTTTTTTCATTATATACTGATATTAATATGACTCTAAATACAATTTGGAACCAATATTTGAGGGGTTCTGTTCAAGATAAGGATAGCAAGACCATTGGCGATGATGGTTTTAGGAAATCTGTAGAAGTTGCAATTGTGCCTTTTATGTCCAGTTCTATCATCCGATAGTTCATAGTATAATATTCTCACACACGTCCTCCATTCACATTTGCTTTTGTTCTGCTTACGTGCATGATATAGCGTGTATCCTTTTCGCCTTCTAGTATGTTCGAATGATCTCATTTTTCTCTCTTGCTCTGTTTTTTTTGTATTGATAATGCGTGATATCTCGCTCTACAATGCCTACGTACTATACAAGCTGCAAACTGGGGAAAAACTTGCTCTTTCTGGCTTTCGACTGAACGTAGTTCGGGTACTTCTGGAAGAATTCGGCACTCAAAAATTGGACGGTCGAGGCAGACCATCCATTGAAACTCCTGTCCGCATAACCACGATATTTTTCATCAAAGGTACAAAGCTCGGAAGATGGGCGAAGTCGTTGCTTTGTCTGCAGTCACACAGCTAGTGATCCAAAGGGGGAAACAAAAACCAGCTACGAATGCAAGGAGTGCAATGTTGACTTATGCGTAGTACCATGTTTTGAAGCCTGTCACACGTTGAAACATTTTTAATAAAGATTGTATGGAAAACAACAGAGGTCATTGACCCTTGGGCTTGTCAGCGATTGAAAAAGCTGTTTTCTCTTCCAAACACAAGAGCTTTTCATATACTGTTATAGAAACTATTTTTCCGCTAGATATGAATACATCTCTCACCAAAAAAAAACCGTAGTGAAAGGATTAAACTCCTTTAACTGCTTACTATGAAACGAAAATGTGTCCCGTTGAAACGTCATAGTTGTTGGTCAGACCATATGCAAAGACAATTTTTTTAAGTAGGAAATACTTGAACTTTTGACTAACGAAAAGCGTCTACTATTCATTTTTCGGATTCGTACATAGTGTTTTGCAATTCTGATCGGCCGGTAACTATCGTTAATGTATCTTCTTACATATGACTTGCCATTTTAAATCACCTTGCAGAATATATTTCTCTTCTTTCGTTCTTATTATCACTTATAGATAGCAAGAACGGACTTATTTCGTCTCTCATGTTTTGATTACCTTTACAGCGTGTGGAAAGGCCTTATTGTGTTTACCAAATCAGAAAGTAAAATGCAGAAGTCAATGAGGACAGGCAAAACAGACTTACTCATTTCTCTCATCTATCCACCACACGTATTCAAGGTGAATAAAGTGCATATTATTTAGACGTACATATTGATTTCATTTTGCATTGCATCTAGTATAGCAGATGGAAAAAAAGAAGTTCGCTGTTATCGGTGGAGGTTGGTCCGGTATATATGCCTTAAAGTACCTGTTGGAAGAACAACTGGATGCCCGACTCTATGAACGTGAACCGAATCTTGGTGGAGTATGGCTCTACAAAGAAGCACCAGGTGGTGTCTATCGATCGACACATGTTACGTCATCGAAAACGTTCCTACACGCCTCCGACTTTCCGATGGCCAAAGAGATTGCTCATTTTCCAAAACATGATCAAGTACTTGCTCATTTAAACTCGTATGCTGATTATTTCAATTTATGGTCTCACATGCATTTTACCTGTGACGTTGTCAAGATTGAAAAAGGCCAAGATGATCAATGGAGGGTACGATTTCGAAATGACGGAAGAGAGATAGTAGAAGTATTTGATGGAGTAGTGATAGCTGTCGGACAACATCAAACAGCTAATGATCTTCGCCATGTTGAACCGTTGGATCAATTCACAGGGACTATGTCCCATAGCATATCATACAAAGAACCAGATGACGCTCTCTACTGTGATAAAACAATTCTGATTGTTGGCGGAGGCGAAACAGCTAGTGATTTGGCCGTTGAACTTTGCAGAGTTGCTCGTCGCATTTACATGAGCATTCGAGGGGGTCAATGGTTTCAAGAACGTCTCACCGGAGATCAACCCGCAGACATTCATTTCACGAAGTCCTTGGGATTCTTTGGTTTTTACGATAATATATGGGTTAGAATCGGTTGGTCAGTGTTAATTCGACCCTTTTGGGGTGAAGGCGGAACAGGAATCATAGAATGGAAACCTCGATGTCGGCTTTTCCATGGTTTTATCAATAAAAGTCGAGAGGTGGTCCATAGAGTGGCACAAGGAATAGTCATACCTAAGAGGGCGATCGCGAGCATCAAGGAAAAGCTGGTCACTTTTGACGGTGACGGAAAACCGGTGCATATTGATCATATTCTGTTATGCACTGGGTATATACGCTCTCATCCGTTTTTAGATGAGAACTTGGAGAAAGAGGTAAGTAATTTTCATTTCCAAACAGGACTTTTACCCTATATCTCGTTGATTCCATCGCTAGTTTTATGAAAATCTGTATTGCTTACGATTGCAGTGGTCTCAGAGTATCTGTTTAGGACAAGGTTTGATTCGTGAATTTAGGTCGACATCAAATTTCTTTATCAATTGATCTTTCCTGTCAATCTGCCTAATCTTGCTTTTGTGGGCACTGCTCGACCGGTGTTTGGCTCTATTCCTTCACTTGCCGAGTTACAAGCTCGTCGTGTCGCGCAAATATTTTCCGGTCGAGCATTTCTTCCGTCGCCAACAAATATGTCCACCTGGTTAAGCAAATATTGGAAGCGTCACACTCAACTCTATCCATTCGATGCACGACTTCGACAGCTTGTCAATCAATTCGAGTATACTGAACTATTAGCTGATGAGGCAAAAGTAAAACCTAATTTATGGCGATTATTTTTTTCGCAACCTCGCAAATGGTATACAATTTACTTTGAAAGTCCGTGGACTCCTTTTCTCTTCCGTATGAATACGATCGAATCCGAAGACGAGAAACTAGCGTATGCCAGGCATGTGGAATGTATTCCTCGACCAGATCAGCCGTTTGGCAACTACAAACAATTTATTCGAAGTGCCATTGTAATTCTGTTGTTTTTTCTCGCTTTTATTTTCGGAACCTTTTTCGCTATTCTGTTTTATTTTGTCTAAAAGGTTTGTGCTTACTAAAACAAGCTAATCTGGTTAGAACAATGTGTGTGAGTGTGGGTATCTAAGTGAAGATCCTTCCACCTACGTCGACATGGACACCATTGCTTGTGTACCTACTTTCGTCTTCAAGATAGCTATGGTTCCGTTATATCAAAGGCTTTTTTATGAGAAAATATCTCGAGACATTCAATAGTATATCATTCATTTTGAAGAACACTTAAGATCTCCCAATGCTGGGAGACACTTACTTAGTGTTAAAAGCTATTGATGAGCTAAGCTGGTGCACGAATCGGATAATAATACCTTGGTGAAGTATTAAATTGTTTGTTGAGAAAAATAAACCCAAAGAATTCGATAAATGCAATGCACCAGTTTCTTATTTTCTTTTACTATATTCGAAAGCATATGATTTAAATGACAAAAAGAATAGAAAGAAAGACATTGCAATCGTCAGTTACATATAGTAGTCCCTCGACTCTGAGATTCCAAATCGCTTCCTTAACGAATTTACTAGCTACTGAACAGCTATTGGCTGATTTTTTGCAGATCCTGAAGGAAAAAACTTCATGAGCTCCTATTCTTGTTTTAAAG